CCCGAGTTATATTATAAGAACAGTACAGTGACTGGAGGCTTCAGGGGAGAATAGTTTCCTCTCTCTGTCTGCCCTCGCCTGATCGTCCTGTGAGTAAATTACTCTATAAAAATTCTATTAGATCCTATGGAGTTGCCGGCTTCATCTTCTGGTGTGAAGATGCCTCCTCATTACGGTGACATTACACCGTTGCCCCGTCAGACGGGGCAGTTATGCCCAGAGCAGGACCCAAGTCAGTCCATTATTTCATCATTGGCTCACTGTCTACTAACTTCAGGCTGTAATACCAGAAAGAGCTAAGAAAGTTCAAGTTGGTTTGAGCCACAGCTAGAATATTTTGGGAGAGTTGGAAGGCAGTGATTTGAAACGAATAAAACTCAAAATTTTGCTCCTTCTCAGAGTCAGAGTTACAAAGAAGCTAATGAAATTTAAGCTTCGACCTGACTGGTGTAGCTCAGTGGATTGAGCGCGAGCTGCGAACGAAGGGGTCGCCAGTTCAATTCCCAGTCAAGGCACATGCCTAGGTTGAAGGCCAGGTCCCCAGGGGGGGCCACGTGAGAGGCAACCATACATTGATGTTTCTCTCCCTCTCTTTCTCCCCCCTTCCTTCTCTCTAAAAATAAACAAATAAAATCTTTAAAAAATTTAAGCTTCAGTTTCCCTTCTGCAGCCTTGGGAGGTACCTTGCAATATGTTCACACTACCATATATGTTTTCAAATTCCGAAAAAGCAAGATATTTTAAAATTCTTTTTCATGAAGAAAGTCTCCCAAATTGTATGAGCTTCAAGCCCCACAAAACCTGGATGCACCTGTGCCCCCTATCAAATCCGAGCCCTTTAAGTCACCAGTGATCCATGGGTTAGTTTATTTAATCCTTGCATCTATCTAGCCTGTAGATACCATTGCTATCCCCATTTACGGATGAGAAAACTGAGGCTTGGAGAATAGCCATTGCCTAAGAATTCACAGTTAGTAAATGGTAGATCTGAGATTTAAAATTTATAGCCTGTCTCCAGAGTCTAGATCCTTAACTGTAGTGATTCTCAATGGTATGTATTTGTTTTCTTGTCTACTTTCCCCACCAACTTTGAGGTTCTTAAGGTTTTGAAGACAAATCGCTTGTATACCCCCAGCACCCAGCCCAGAGGCAACATCAACACACGTGAGTGAGTACATGGAAAAGAGAAAAGTGGTCCCCAGTGGCTGGGAGCTGGCCTGGCACTCAGCTGGTCTTTGGTGCTCCCTGGCTGAACACGAACAATTTCACAGAACATTCACATCAGACAAAGGCCACTCTGTGACCCTGATGGGTCGAGGTACAAATAGGACAACTCCAGAATCATGTCTGACCACAGACAGCATGTGAACAAAAAGTCCCAACCACCACTCTACCCTCGTATAAGACACTCCTGCTTCTCACCAATGACTGCTCTGGCCTCGGTCGTCTTCCCTCCTTCTAGATTAGAATCACTAAGACCCCCAGTCATAGAACCACCCCCACTTCCTGACAGCATCCAATCCAGACCAAAGCCCTGCTTCCTTAAACCCTCCCGAGATCATCTAACGAAAGCCCAAATCCTGTAAGTATTTCCTGTACCCTCTTTCTGAGATGCCCCGTTTCCCATCGTGCGCCTTCTGCCTCCCTGCAGTGCGCGGCCACCTGATTCAACTACATGTGTGTCTCTGGTGCTCTTTGGAGCACTAGGAACGGCATCGACACAGATACCATATGCTGAAGGATCATTGAGCACAAAATATTATTGTCAAAAGTTACAAAATGTTGTTTCCCCCAAACTAGTTGAGGATGATAGAAAGGAAAACAGTGGTTCCCTTTGGGGAATGGAGATGAGTGGTTATAAACCGAGAAGGGAGATGAGGCAACCTTTTCAGGGTATTGGAAATGTTCTACATCAATTTTTAAAAGCTAAGTACTTAATATTAATGCACTTCATACACTTTGTTGTATACATATAATACTTTGACTAAAAAAATTGTCCACCGACCTCAGCAGGTAGAGGATGTTAACAAAAAATAAGGTATAAATTGTAATAAAGAATAAAAAGCATTTGAACATAGGAGGAATGGTAATCCAGGGACACAGAGTCAGGTAGCAACCTGCATTGTGCTCCAGAGGAAATAAAGACAGTCAGGGCTCATGAAGGACAAAACCGTACCTGCAGTCCTCATTTTGGCCCTGCATGTGAGTGAAGGGTGTTGGCTAGGTCAGCTGGAATTGGTTAAGCCCATTACATAAGTGGGGGATGTAGGTTGTTCAAATGGATCAGTTCCTTTCAAGGTGAAGAATGCAGATGGTCTGATCGCCATGATACGGTGGAAGCAAGGTCCATATATGTCCTTGCAGCAATCGCTGATCCAGATGTTTGTCTCAGCTTTGAGCTGAGGTTAACAACAGGTCAGCAACTTAATAAAAATTCCAGGAACTGAGACATGAGACATGCATAGGCTCTACCCCCTTAATGACCTCCCGACTGCATTTTAAGTGACTCTTTTAGCAATGCTTATTCCGTTTCATTTTCTCTATTATCAGGGAGAGAACAGGAAATCCAAAGCTGGTCACTGAGACACCAACTTAAAGTAATAGCAGCAAGATAAGGGCCAGAGTGGGATTTTAGCCGACTAGAAGGGAACCTTGGGTCATTGGATAAGATCTATGATGAAAAGGCTATAAAATCAACTGCTCTCTAAAACTTAAAGTATTTGGATGTTTATACCAGAAGAGACTAGATTGGAAGGAGATACAATTGAACTTAAGTATTTTATTTTGCAAAACAAAAGAGTGTGGGTCCAAGGCAGATCTTTCTAACAGTGACAAAAGAGGTAAAGGAGGCTGTGACGTCCCTGTTTCTGGGAAGTTAATTTTTTTAAAGAAATGGTTTATTATTTTTTTAATTTTTATTTATTTACTTTTATTTTTTAAAGATTTTAGTTATTTATTTTCAGAGAGAGGGGAAGGGAGGGAGAAAGAGAGGGAGAGAAACATCAGTGTGTAGTTGCCTCTTGTATGCCCCCAACTGGGGACCTGGACTGAAACCCAAGCATGTGCCCTGATGGGAATCAAAGTGGTGACCTTTTGTTTCACAGGCCAGCACTTAATCCACTGAGCCACACCAGCCAAGGCCGTTTCTGGTAAGTTTAAAACTCAGCAGCCAAATGTCCCCAGCGTGGCCTGGTGTAGAGCAGAAGACAGAGAAACAACTTCCATATGCCCCTCCCGTGACTTGGGACTCTGGTCCGTCATGAGTGTTCTGGGCCAGCTGCACAACACCAATTAATTAGCCAAAGGCAGCCACTCTGCTGTGCACTAAGCTTTTCATATTCTGCCATCACTGCCACATCCACAGCTTTAATTAAAGCTGGGGCTTAATTACCACAGTGCAGTGCTGCCATCACACTATCCTGATGACTTTATCTTGGCTCGTGGAAGGATGGTGGCAGTGGCAGTGTGGCAGGGGAGAGGAGCCTAAGGGAGCCTATAGCACAGCCTCTGCACACGGGTGATTTGAGGGAACAAGCACTTGGTGGGTGCAGTATCAGTTGTACAGCTCAGCACCTGACCTCAAGTTGCTCACAATTTATTACAGAGTTAAGACCTCCCACCTAGGAGATGGCACAAGGCAGTGTGAAGTAAGCCCCCAAATGAGACACACACACAAATGTCCCAGCAACGGAGAGGAGGCAGACGTCCCTTTGCGACTGGAGGGACCAGGAGAGCTTCATGGAGAGAAAAGGAGGACCTAGAGGAATTTCCAAGGAAGAACGGGCTTAGACAGGACACCAGGCAGGTAAATAAATGTACCTAGTGGTGGGAAGAGCGTGAGTGTGGAAGGAACTAAGAATCTGATACACCCCGACAATGGTGAGGAGGTAAATGTAGCTGGGAGCAGACCAAGGCAGAAGAGAAGGGATTCCTGTCAGAGATGAGTATGAACAACACTTTTGGAGAGGAAGGTAGGGGAGCAGGTTAGGGAAGGCCTATGAATGCCAGGCTAATGAGTAGGGACCTCATTCAGGCGGTAGTAGGAAGCCAGTGAAAGTTTCTGAGCTGCCTGAACGATCCAAATTTCTTATGGAAGCTTGTAAGACTCACGAGGATGCTGTGCTGCCTATCACCCCGGGTCTCTCTCACTCTCTCCATTCCATTCCTCACACTCCGCGCTCCAGCAGAGTGTAAAACATTCTTCACACTCCCTGTACTCCTAAGTGCTATTCTTCCAGTTTTCAGTTTTAACTTCTCTGTGAGATCTCTAAGAAGCCTTGCTGGCTCCATTTCCCCCTATGCAAGTGCCACTATTCAAGGTTCCCACAACCCCCTGCGTTTCCCCCACTAGAGCATATATCACTGTGCTGTCATTATTCATTTGGTGGAATCCTCTGCTAGACTGTGAATTATTTTGAGGTTGGGGACGGTATCTTGTTCACCAATGTGTCCCTAAGAACCAGCACAGGGTCAGCAACGTGAGGGCAGATGAAGGGGCTTGGAGACAATGAAAAAATCTCGTGTGAACAGGTAAAGATTGGTTAGAAATGTGCCCTTAACTTGAATAATGTCTCGTTCTCAAAGGTAACAAAGCTGCGGGCAGACACGAAACAATTCCAACCTCCCCAACCCTCGGTAAAAATAAAGTGAAACCACGCTATTTCTTGGTATGCCCGGGAATTATTTAAGGAAGGGCGAGGAGGCTGGTTGCCAAAAGGACTGCAGGCAGAAACCTCTGCTGTAGCCTCGTAGTCGTGGCGGCACCTCCTTGACCACCAGGGGGAAGAATCGTACCGCAACTCTTGCCTTGGGTGGTTTTACCCAGCAACAAAAGGCCGCATTGAACTGTGGGAATTGTAGTTCGGAGCGGGGGTGGGGGGGGACTCAAAATTCGCAATCCCGCACAGTGCACCACGGGAGTTATAGTTCGTGACAGAGAGGCGGGAAATGCTTTCCAGCACCAGTGTTGAGTTCTAGAAACTACAACTACCAAAGGGCCATGGGCTCCTAGGCAGTTTTTTCGTTTCCCTCGAGGTGACTAGGTGACGGTCGGGCTGCTTCTGAGATCTCAGGTCAACTTGACTTGGTAAGTCTGATAGCGCAAAAGCTCCTGTTCTCAACTGCGGTGTCTGCAGATTTTTTCAAATTCCAGCCCGGTTTGATTCTCCTCTTCTTATTTCTGGAACTTCACATTAATTTCTCGTCCTTTCTGGTTCCTATTCAGACGCCTCCATCAGCCACCCCACGCTCTTAACTCTTCCCCCTGGCTTCTCCAGCCTTCACTCCCGGCGCCCCTGGAATCTCACCCATCCTGCGCTCTCGTCTTGGAACCCAGCCCCCATAACCCCATCCTGAGCCCACAGCGTCACTTGTCTGAAATCTGGACTTTAAAAGGTGCCACGCCTCCTATGTGCTTCACTCTTACCCTCTCTTTGCTGTTTTTCTTGCTAGTGGAAGAAGGCTCGCTACCACTTCTCAGTCCGCGGAAAAGCCTAGTCAGGACTGGAAGTCAGCAGACACGGGCTCTAGTCCAAGTCGACAGCTCACTCGCTGTGTGATCTTGGGCAAACCATACTTCTCTGGGACTCACTTTCTTCATCTGCAAAATGGAGATGACAGTCTTTCTGTCACTCTTAGGAAGAGGCTGCGTTGTGCAGCCAATAAGCTACTATGTGTGAAAGTGCTATGTAAACTGTAAAGCCTCCACAAGCGAGAGAGATTATTTTTGTTATAATTATTAATGCACTGGAACAATCTTATCTTGGCTCCTTTTTTAGCTCTGCCCCCTTGTTGCTCAAACCTGTCCTCTGAGTGCTTGGTGTCTCCACTGTCGAAGAGCAGCAGGATATTTCCTCACTTCCTCCAGAGACCCAAAGGTCAGACTAATGAGCTTGAAGTCTCCAGAGAGCTTTCCCTGAAAGGCAGCCCCAAAGAAGAGCTTATCTTGAACTCGGTCCTGAAATAGCCAGTGATGAGGAGTCCACACAGCTGGTAGAAGGGAAGTTCCTGCTCACTGGAAATAGGACCCCAGCAGGAGACAGACAGCTGCAGCATAAGCCCTATTCATTCCCTCTGGGCTCTTGTGGGCCTGTTTAATAGATTGTGGTTTTGGTAGAGGTGTCTCAGGCCGGAAGAGGCTGGGAGGAAAGAATCTATTTTGTTAAAGAGTTTAACCCACAAAAAAATTAAAGAGACCTTGGTATGGTATGGTATAGTGTGGCTTGGCTAGCTATGACAAAACAGAGACGTAGTATTGGTAGTTAATTCCTAACATTTTATGAGCACTTAAAATGGACCAGGCGCTAGGCAATATCAATTTTCTTAAATTTTACTATGCCCCCATTTTACATGTAAGGAAGTTGGGCTCAAAGAGAGTTAGTTATACATACAACCTACCATAGAGCTACCATCTATGGTTACAGTGCCTTCTAAATGTCAGTGCTTTACATATATTATTTAATCATCATCAGTGAGTGATTGCTATTGTTTCTGTCATGTGGATAAATTATCAGAGGACTAGAATTGAAGACTAAAATTGAAGGGACTTGCCCAAGAACACACAGCTAATTAACTGGCAGACCTGGAACTTAGATGTCACCGAAGCCTTTCTTCACTATAACATATAACCTCATTTTTAGATAAAAAGATTAAAGAATTGAGGGAGCTTAAATAAAATCCAAATAAAGGAACATTTATTGGGTCCCTACTATGTGGGGAGAGCAAGAAGTTAGATTGGTTTGACCTACAAAGAAGTACAAAATACAGTCTAGTATATCTGAAGACATAAGGTGTAAGTATGTAAGAACTTGGCATGTATTGGATAAATTGATTATTAAGACCTCTTATTGCAGGACACTACATTAAGCCTAGTGAGTAGCAGGAATATGCTTCTGGTGGTCATGGGATTAAACCAAATGAAATTATGGCCATCATTTCATTACTATGAAAACGAACTGGAGCCCTTTGTGAAAAGGATGGGATGGAACTCTCAGTAAATGATGCATGCACAGGTGTCTGAATAAAAGAAGAACCCTGTGTACCACCTGGACCAGAGGTTTTGAAACCTCGATCAGAAACACTGGGAAGCTTTTTAAAATTACCTGATCTCTGGGAATGGAGACCCTAAAATCTCTATTTTTGAAGTTTCCCAGGTAATTGCAAAGATAGGTTCAGGAACCGCTGATCTTGATTCTGCTTGGACCACTTGTAAGCAAGTCACTGATGGAAAACTGCTAGGATAATACTAATCCAAAGAACTGTTGTAAGGCAGCCTGTGATTGGTTATTGGTGTGAGGGAGGATAGGCGGGGTGCAGACAGTGTCTAGAGTTGAGAGGAGGAAAGGTTGGAAGAACTAGGGGAAGCTTCAGAGAAGACCAGGGATTTTATGGGGCCTCGATGAGTGGGGCAGGTTTGGAAGGGCAGAGAGTCTTATAGACAAGCACCACTATGAATTGTTTAGGTAAGGTGAGCAAAAGAAGGTAGAGCTACCTGGGCTGATTTCTTTGGAAAATTTCATAGCATTTACTATAATGACTCTGGATGTTCTGTGTGGATGTTGCTTAGGCAAAGTTTGCAAGTCAGATTGGATTTTTCCACTTCCCCATTCTCCTCGGGCATCAGTCAGTGTGAGCTCAGGAGTGCAGATTCATTTTCATGTTAGCCTCACTGTGGCCAATTAGCTTCTTTAGTTTTTATTTCTTTACAAACTTAATTTAGTTGATCATCTTCCCAGGACTCCCAGAGGGTTCTACTCTCCCTGTTTAGCTGTTTTTAAGTTCGCTTATCCCGATTCTAATCCCAAGTACTATTCTTTGTGGGATAAGACCAAAATCTCTCCCCATAAGAAGCTGCTATCATTCTATCCAATTCTGAAACCTGACTCACCATTGGTTCTTCTTTCTCCCCTGACTCCCCAAACCCACTCAGCTGCCAAATCTTATTTCTACTTTTCATTCCACCAACAGATATTTCCTGGGTACTTCCTGAGAGCCAAGTTCTACACTAGGTGCTTAAAATGCACTATTTCATTTTATCTCCATAGCAACCCTATAAAGATGGATAGTATTCCCATTGTACAGATGGGGAATCAGTCTTAGAGAGAGCAGATAACTTGCCCCAGGTGAGAAAGCTAGCAGCGAAGGAGCTGGCGCTCAGACTTGGGTTTTTCAGACTTCACCCCTCTCATATCTACAACCTCATTTTCAGGGCCGATTCCAACTCCATAATCGAGTGCTGGAGGGGCTGCCACCCTCCAGTTCTGGTCACACCTTCCATTTCTCAGCCAGCATCCCTCACCGACTGTCCATGTTTTCTTATGCGAGCTCTCTCTTTCCTGCTTTCGCTCTCCTCCTACTTGAGAGTCAACCTTTTCCCCTTTCTCCTCCACTCCCAAGCTAAAGGAGCTCTCTTCTCAGAAGCTCTCTTCTCAGAACTCCTGCAGTATTTTATCTGACCCTCTTATATGACAGTTAGAACCTTCCGCTGCTTCATTGTCATGTGGGTGATATGTGTCTCCTGCCCCAGCACAGGCCTTTCGTATGCCATTAGCAACGAGGGGAAAGGCCGGCGTCTGAGACTCAGCAGCACGACTTTCGTTGTACTCTGGCTACACGGTCCACTGACTGCACCGGGAGTTTAGCTCAGAGTCTTAAAAAGAATTGGGTTTCCTTTGAATTTTGCTTCAGAGAAACAAGATGAAGTCTGCAGTGGAAAGAAAATCATTTATTATTTTCCAAAGTCAAATGGAATAACATTAAGATTATTGGGTGTTTGGTGTTTTCCACGGCACCAGATCGTTGGCAATCAGGAGGTGTATATATAATAATAGTTCTGCCTGTGACCTTGAGCTGCTCACAAATGACTTAGGACCTTGATTTCTTCACCAGTAAAGCACATGTGTTCAGTATGTACCAGGCCAGTGGGGAGGTGGAGGTAGGGTGGAGAAGACTGTGGGGAGGATGGACAGAAATGATCTCTAAGGTCTCTTCTTGCCAGACATGCTTTGGCTTGAACTCTGATCCAACTCAGAGCATTGTTATTTTATTTTATTTATTTTTATACAGAGGGGAAGGGAAGGAGAAAGAGAGGGAAAGGAACATCAGTTTGTGGTTGCTTCTCACACACCTCCTACTGGGGCCCTGGCCCACAACCCAGGCATGTGTCCTGATTTGGAACCAAACCAGCAACCCTTTGGTTTGCAGGCTGGTGCTCAATCCACTCAGCTACACCAGCGAGGGCCCAACTCCGAGCATCTTAAAGAAAGCAGAATAATGTAGTAATTAAAAATGTGGGCTCAGGGCTCAGTGTATATCAGTTTAGATGCTTTTGTTTCAACCAATAGAAATCTAAACTCAGTGGTTTAAACAAAAAGGGAGATTTATGTAACTAGAAAGTCTAGGATTGGGTCAGGTTTCAGGTATAGTCTAATCCAGAGATTCCTAATGTCTTCAAATATGGCTCTTTTTCTGATTCTCTCTGGTCTGCCACGTAGCTTCATCCTCAAGGTAGCAAAGTAGCTGCAACGGGCAGTTCAAGGCTTTATATCTGCACATCACTCTAGTTCACACAAGAAAGAACTTTTCCATCCTTAGCCATCAAACCAAAGTCCCAGGCTTTACTCTGATCAGACCAACGTATGTCATGTACCCACTCTTTATCTGAACACTGACCAGAGACACGAAGGACTGATTGGCTCAGGTCAGTTAGCCCCACTCTGGAGGTTAGGGATGGGTCAGCCACAGCCAAATCACAAAGCTACTGCGTTGGAGGGCAAGATAGAGTGGATACCGAGAAGTCCGATGATGGTCTCCCCGTCAGAGCCATGCCACCCATGATCAGATTCTGGCTCTGTTAGCTGTGTGTTCTTGGGTAAAGTACCTGCCTTTATCAAGCATCATTTCCCTCATCTATAAGATGAGATAACAGTAATTATCTCAGAGGACTGTTGAAAGGATTCAATTAAATAATACATGTAAAGCACTTAGTGTGGTTCCTGGCACAGAGTAAGTATAAATAATGATGGCAGTGCTGGTGCTGATGGGATTGAAGAGGGGTGCAGAGCACTGGCCTTGGCCCCAGTGCAGGAAGCAGCCAAGTCACAGGGATGTTTTCCGGTCAGAAACATGCACAGCTGCCACCGCCAAAGGCTCCTGCTTGAGCTGCTGCCTCCGTCACACTCTTTCCTGTCTCTGCATTTCCCTCTTACATTATGTCCTGTCTGGAAGTGCTTTTCTTTTTCTTCCCTGCTTCTAAATCTTCCTCAGTCTCCCTCAGTCTCAAGGCCTAGGATAAGTGTCACCTTTACAGTCAACAGTTTAGGTCAGTGCTTTTGTAACTTTACAGTTGGCCCTTGAACAACGCAGGAGTTGGGGGTGCTGACCCTCACGCAGTCGAAAATCCATGCATAACTTTTGACTTCCCCGAAACTTAACTGAAATTGTGCTTCAGTATCTACAGGGGATTGGTTCCAGCCCTCCCCACCCCCCACCCCCACCATAGACACCAATATCTACAGATGCTCAAATTTCGTATATAAAATGCCTTAGAACACATCCAGTTGGCCGTTCCCATCTGCAGATTCCCAGGCAGGGGTCAAAAATGCTGGTTTTGCTCTCCTGTTGATTCGAATCTGAAGATGTGAAACCCAGAGAAATGGAGGGCCAACTATATGCTTACTGAAAAAAGTCTGTGTATAAGCAGACCCGTGCAGTTCAAATCCACGTTGTTCAAGGGTCGGCTGTCCCCCATGAGCAGGATCAGTAAGGACCAAGACCTCAGGTCTGGGTCAGACAGACCTGGGTTTTGCCACCCATAAGCAGTGTGACTTGCGAGAGTTCTTCAACCTCTCTCTGCCTTAGTTTCCTCACCTCTACAACACGGTCTTAATTAACCGAGCGCCTTCCTCAGATGGTTTGTTGAGAGAATGAGGTGGTGTAGTGTATGTAAAGATCTAAGTTCAATGCTGACACAGGAAATAATAGACATAAGTAGTTGTTCTTTGCCTCATGGGAACAAGATCTGTGTTACACTCTCTGCAGCAGTTACTACTCTGCTGAGTGCAAAGTCAATACTTACTGGTGGGTTTTGAGAAGCATAGAAATGCGCTCTGCTCTTCACAGACATCTTTCCACTCCTCCCCCAGCAACAGGAAAAGCGGCCCCTAAACCTTGGCAAAGGCGATGTAGCAAAGCAGATGATGCGAAAGATTGAATGAGTCACTGGCAGGGAGGACGGGGCGATAAGAAGGGGTGGTCAGGGGTGACAGATGACACACATAAGCCACCGGAAGCTAAGAGGGAACCAGAAAGAGGTTGTTCTGTGTTCTTCCCTCCAGCCCAGGTTCAGCTGGTCCGATGAGATGGGGGTCAACCAGTCCGTGGGCTTTCCACCTATCACCGGACCCCACCGTGTGGGCTGCGGGGATGTGATGGAGGGCCAGAGTCCCCAGGTAAGTGTCTGCAGCTCCGTCTCTGCACAGCTGCACCGCCTCTGCCCGCTCCGTGACTTACCCCCGATAGCCAGTCTGATGGTGCAGTTCCAGGTGGGGAAACTGAGTTAGAGCTGATCTGGGTTTGCCTATAGAGCTCCCGGTCTGTCTTCCCTGACCTTTTCCTTCCTTCTCCCAGTTAGAAACCTCTCAGTAGAGATAGTAAGTTCTTTTGCCAGTTAGAGGAAAGGCGGCCCTGGCTTCAAAGGCAGCTTTCAGATCCTTTCACCCGTCTCGAGAGCAGATGCTGATCCCGGAAAGGTTATTGATCTCAGACTCATTGCGTCTGTGAGAGGAAGGGCAGTGGACCGTGTGCCCCGGCCTGTGACTCCCAACCAGGAAGGGAAGACAGTCTCCTCCTCCTCCTCTCCTGCCTTCATTTCTTTCCCCTCCTGCTTCAGTTCCCTACTTTTCCCCCATCAGTTTCTAGCCTCCTTCTCTGCTGGCCCGTGCACGCCCCTGTCCCTTGTGAGAGGCACATATGTCCTGGTAAACCTCTTACCTACTCCTGGGGAAAAGGCGTGCAGTGCTGCTTCCCCAGTGCCAGCCTAGGGGCGACCTGCCGATGCCGCCCCAGTCAGCGCCAGGGCTAATCTCTCACTCCAGGCTTCCTCCAGGCCGGGTGCGGGGCCAGATTTAAATCTGTCAACGTCCCAAGCACGGAAAAGATTTTGGTGTCCCCCAGATGTCATTCAGAATACAGTTGGCTATTTGAAATAATACAAACTTCATGTGTATTCTAAGAATAAAATTGCTTCTTTCTGGATTTTCTGAATACAAAACTCAGATATGTAAATTGAAAATAAAGTTTTCCCATTGTGATGCTGTGCTGGTGCCCCAAACACCGACTGAAGCAGTGCTGGGGTGTCTTGCTCTGAGCAGCTGCTCTCTTCTTCCCTACAGGGGAGCTTCTTCCGACTCTTCTACCCCTGCCAGGAGGCAGAGGAGGCCACAGAGCAGCCCCTGTGGATTCCCCGCTATGAGTACTGCACTGGCCTGGCTGATTATCTGCAGTTTAATAAGCGCTGGTGGGGTTTGCTCTTCAACCTGGCTGTGGGTAAGAGCTGGCCTCAGCCCTAGATGCATTCCCAGCTTCTTGGTTATGTTCCTAGGAGATCCCCAGGTACACCCAGTCCCTTATAGCTTGCATTGTCCAGCTATTTTGTAGTGGGGCATCCATTAGCCAGCAGTGGGTAGAGAGTGAGGGAGAATTATATAATAAGAGCATGGGGAGAGAATTATAGACTGTCCTGGATCTGAGTCGAGACTTTATCACTCATTCGCTGTAAGATGCTGTAGGCAGGTTACGCAGCCTGCACAGATACCCGCCTTTGCAGGCTGCTCTGGGACACATGTGAAGCCTCTCGTGTAGTGTCAGACAGAGACTGTGCTGCATATGTGGTGGCTATTACTTATTTACTTGGCATGTCATCCCCACTCTGTGCCAGCTGTGTAGATTAAAGAAGCATGAACTGCCAAAGAACATACTGTCTCCTGCAGTTTCCCTGCCCGTTCTCTGCTCTTGTAGGTGGGGTCACGTTGAATCATCCACTTTCCCCAAAGGCCCCACCATTAGAAACTCTACCTACTGCCTTGGCATCTCAGGGATTTACCCCCTGGTGGTTCAGTACTTCCCATTTGGATTTATCTTCCTATTTTCTATCGTGTTCATGCTTTCTAGGAGCGAAGAGGGGAAATGAAAAGGTGATTGGTTTCCCCAGACTGCTCGGGGGTACATGGTGGTCCTCCAGAAAGGAAGGATCTGTGTTCCCACACTTGCCTGTGCCCAGCCTGCCCTTGGGATTACAGCTCGGGGGCAGCCAGAGATTCTGTAGCCCGTGTCTCTTCTAGGGTCTTGTCGCCTGCCTGTTAGCTGGAATGGCCCCTTTAAGACAAAGGACTCTGGATACCCCTTGATCATCTTCTCGCATGGCCTGGGAGGCTTCAGGTAAGAGCTTCTCTTTCTTAGACCTTGTCATATTCCGTGCCTGGTGGCAGCTGCGGAGTCTTATTCTCAAAGGCCGGAGAAACAGACATTTCCATCTGCCCGCTGTCTTATCTACCATCTGCCTCATTCCATAGCACTGGGTCCACCTCCTCTCAAAGGCCTTTCCTAAGCTCCTTTCACATGGCAGAGCCTTTCCACAGGCTTCACGTCCTTCACTGTTCCTGATCCAGCATTTATATCAATCAACACTTTTCGCTTTCTCCCTATATAATAGTCAAGAAATATTAGGAACTTGGGCTTTATTGTCAGAGTCATTTATTCAACGGACAGTGAAGGATAACTCTGCACTGACAGAGCAGCGCATAGACAGACTCGCTTCCTGCCCTTGTAGAGTTCTCGGCCTCACCTTTAAATCCCAGCCAGGCCACCTGTGCTGTGTGTGAGCTTGGGACAGTTGTAGAACTCTGAGCCCAAATTTCATCATCTGTCAAGGGGGGAGGCTGCTCCCCCGGGCAGTTTGGGAGGGTTCTGTTACACCGGCACCTAGCACGAGCACACACGCACAGTCCTCTTCACTTCTCCGTGGAGGAACCCGGGTGTGAACCCTGCTTGGGAACTGTAAGAGCTCATTTACCAGACTTTGGGAGACTCTCCCCAGGTTTTATAAGTCAATGTCCAGTCAGAATTCTTTCCATGAATTCTGATTTCTCACCTTGGAGAGTTATTTAGCTTAATAACTGTAGTACCTGTGTTCTATTTAAACTTGTGAATGTTCTCTACATCCGTTCATTAGCATATCTCAGTCTGGTGTATGTTCCAGAGTGTTACACTTCTCAAAGGCATCTACTTTTGCCTTCTCGTCCCCTCAGCCATTGTGTACACTGTAGCCACGGAGTCCTATTTTAAAACCAAATATGACCTTGTCGTTCCAGTGTCTAAAGCAGTGCCTGGCAGGTAGGAGGTGCTCAGTAAATATCTATTGAATGAATGAGTGAACTTCCCTACTAGCCCTTTGTACTTAATTCAGCTCTTCATGGTCTTACCTGGAGGCAGGTCCTGGACAAAGTTTCCAGCCTCATTTCTTGCTACTTGTTCCACCCCATCTCTCCACACACACTGACCTTCTTTCCCTTCTATAAGGCACTGTGTCAATTTCTGCCTCCGGTTTCATTGGTGCTGTGCTGTGGCTGTTCCCTTTACCTGGAATATATATGGTCTGTCCAGAAGGTATCCATGTAATATGAAAAACAGACATTTATCGAAGAAGATACTAGATACAAGAAACATTGTACATAGGACAATGATGCTCAGCCCCCTTCAAAGTAGGCACCTGGGGACCTCACACAGTTCTCCCAGTCGCCATCAGCTGCCCCGTTGTACTTTCCTAAATCTCAGCAACAGTCTGAAATCTCTTCCCTTTCAAGGGTGATTTTAGTTTTGGAAAAAGCCAGGAGCCACAGAAGTCAACTGTGGGCTATAGGGGGGTGAGTCACCTGCGTGATTTGATGCTTCACTGAAAACTCTGCACAAGACACGATGCATGAGCAGGCATGTTGTCATGATGAAGCTGCCAATCACCAGTTGCCCACAGCTGTGAACTTCTGAATCATCCAAATAGTTTTTGTGGAGGAATGTTCAAGCTTATCTCAATTTGGTGCAGATTTCTTCCTCTACTCTGAGTGCTCAGTGATTTTAAATGCGACCGCCACACAGTGCGCATGCTCATTCAGTGGTATCTACCGCCCCCACTGACTAGTACAGTGAAGTCGTCATTGTTCACGCATGAGCATTCCAGTCCACTCGCCTGGGCTGCCACAATACATGGGTGTCGCACAAACCGTGCTCGTTGTATTAACACTGGCTGGACTTTTCCCAGACAGACCTCATATGTTCTTTTGCTCCTCTCTTTCTCTTCCCTCTCTCCCTCTTTTGCCTAGCTAACTCCAAATTACCTTCAAGGTCTTAGTGTGTATGTCATTTAGTTGGGGCACCCATCCTGACCCCTACATTGTATTAGGTTAAGTGTTCTAGTAATCTTCTTTCATAAGACAGGCTGTACTTCTCAGTACTTAATTGTAACAAATTAACTGTTTGTATGCTTACTCTTTAATGTCTGTCTCTTCTACCCTATTGTAAGCTGCCTGAAGACAGAGACTCTCTGTCTCGTATCTCTCCCAGTGCATAGGGCAGTACCTGGGCAGTAACTGTTTCCCAATAACTATTCACTGAACGAATACAAAGGCTTTGTTTCTATAGGTCCTCGTTCATTCAGAAAATATCTGTCGAGCACCTCTCCGTGCCAGCCTCCTGGCATGAGAGGAAGGTGATACATACGGAGATAAATAAAACAAAGAATTCATACCCCCAGAGGAGCCTAAGTACGCACTCGCGTAACTATGGCCCATGGCAGGAAGTGGACAACTGATATGAGATGAGGCTAGAAAGACAAGTAGGTGGTTTCAACATCGCGTTCTTAGTAAATTTAGCATCTGCCGTGTGCCAGGGCCCATGCTGGGGTTGGGTTTTCTGTTGTGAATAAGGTAGAGCACTGCCCTCAGAAAGGGAGTCTAGTGGGGGAAAGAAGCTAAGAAACATTTTCTCCTAAGTTCACGGGTATTTTATATAGACAGCAGGTGAGCATGGCCTTTTTGGTCTAGCATCTAAATCGAGACTTCACACCTCAATAGGTCTGGGTGAACCAGTTATAAATAAATACTCTTCATTAACCAGAGCAAAATTCCAAGAAGAGGGGAGGGAAAGGAAATGGTGTTCTTTGGTAGTGTCTGGTTGATTCAGGCTCTGAAATCCTTCCTGTGGGTCATAAACTTGTGATTTCCCATCCCAGGGATGGGTGTGTCCCTTTAAACACTCCCTAACCGGTGGCTCTGGGCCCTTATCTCCTTTGCTTTCTACTCAATCCTTTGGTGTAGGCAGGGAGGGTACATATTTTCCAGGTGAGCAGACAGGCTCAGAAAGGCAGACTGGCCCAAGGTTACACAGTTTGAACTAGAAAGGGATCAGAAATCTCTCTTACTCTTATTTTTAGACATTGCCTCCCAGGAGAAAAAGAAATTTAAGAAACTGACCTCCCTGAATCAATTAGGATGCAGGGAAGTTGTGTTTAACAGAAAAACCCCAAATAACAGTGACCTAAATAATGTTGATTTCTTTTGCAGATAAAGGAGAGCTGGAAGTAGACAGGGCTGACGTGGTAGTTCCACAAAGTTTTCAGAGAAGCAGACTTCTCTGACCATCTTGCTCTGCCACGGGCGGGCGACTTCCCACGACCCAGGGTGGCTGTTTCCGCTGTAACCATTACATCCACATTCCCGGCAATAGGAAGGGAGCCTTCTCATCTTTAAGGAGATTTCCTGCGAGTTCTGTATTAAACAGCTGCTCACATCCCGTTGACTAGAGCTGCTCCATCCATTATAGTAGCTTCTAGCCACGTGGCTTCTGAGCATTTGAAATATAGCTGGTCCCAACTGAGATGTGATGTAAACATGAAGTACACGCTGGATTTTAAAGACTTCATATTAGAAAAATGTACTAAAATAATGAATTATTTTTTAAAGATTTTATTTATTTATTTTTAGAGAGAGGGAAAGGAGGGATAAAGAGAGGGAGAGAAACATTAATGTGTGGTTGCCTCTCACACGCCTCGCACTTGGGACCTGGCCTGCAACCCAGGCATGTGCCCTGACTGGGAATTGAACTGGCAACCTTTTGGTTCGAAGCCTGTGCTCAATCCACTGAGCTACGCCAGCCTGGGCCTAAATTATTTTTTTAAAGTTTGATTATTTGTTGAAGTGATCTTGTTTGGCTACATTGGGTTAAATATTAACAATAGTTCCACCTTTTTTTTAACTTTTAAAAGTATATTTACTATAAAGTTTTAAATTACTGAAGTTAGTATATCTCTATTGCTGGGCTAGAACTTAATCACACAGGCAAACCTGGCTGGAGAGGAGGCTGGGAAATGTCATACATTGATATGATGGTGTTTTTAACTCAAAATCAGAGTCTATTATTGAGGAGGAAGGAGGAAAGGTATTTGGAATGGGCACTTGGCAGTGTCTGCCATGGTTCTTTTTCCTTTTTCTGTAAAGTTGGAGGACAGACAGAAATTCCACATGCTAAATCATAGATGCATATTTGCACATTAAAGAAATAGCCAGAGTCCCTGTCCTCAAGGTGCTAACCACTTCACTTGGGAGACATGCAGTCTAACAATAAAAATGCAGCTGTTGCCCTGGCTGGTGTGGCTCAGTGGATTGAGTGCAGGCCTGCAAACCAAGGGTCCCTGGTTCAGTTCCCAGCCTAGAGCACATGCCTGAGTTGCTGGCCAGGTCCCCAGTGCAGGTGTGCGAAAGGCAACCACGCATGGATGTCTCCCTCCCTCTCTTTCTTCCTCTCATCCCCTCTCTAAACGGAAATAAATAAATTTTTTAAAAATACCACTGTTGAAGTAGCCAGACTGGCAGGGGTGGAGGGTGTGTGTGGCGATGAGTCACTAGAGGTGGGGAAACACCGTGGGCTGATCTGTGCGCACTTCCCAGAGGACGACGTTTGGAGCCTCAGTGAGAGCAGGGATATTCTGGCTGAAGAAAGCACCTTGCGAAAGGCCTCTACAAATGAAACTTCCTCCGTTCAATCTGCTGAGATGGTCACCAGCAGAGTATGGTTAGTATGGGAACTAAGGGTGGCCATTTTTCTGATCACTTTTCTGTTTCTTCCGGAATCTCTAGGACACTGTATTCAGCTTTCTGCATGGAGCTGGCCTCCCGTGGCTTCGTGGTTGCTGCGGTAGAGCACAGGTGAGGGATGACAGCCTCAGGACTACCATGGATTGGGTGCCCGCACCGGGCTAGGAGATAGGCTAGTCCCCCGATCCTCACAGCCACCATGCAGGTATCATGCCCATTTTAAAGGTAAGCAAAGCAAGGTTCCAAGGTGTTCAATTATTATACTTGCCGAAAGTGACACAGCTGAGTTGGGGTTCAAACCCAGGTCAGTCTCTAAAATCCGTGTTTTTCCTACTTTTCTACCCATGCCTCCAGATCTTCTTCCCTGTTAGCTAAAGGATGGTCCAGAGTGTCTTGGCTGAAAAGGAGGATTTGGTAAAGGGAGAAATAAGCTCAGGGTGTCTTCTGATTTCTCTCTTGCGGCGTATGTATTTCAGGGATGGGTCAGCTGCAACCACGTGTTTCTGCAAGCAGGCCCCCGAAGAGAACCAGACCGCTAATGAGCTGCTGGAGGAGGAATGGATTCCCTACCGTCGAATTAAGGAAGGGGAGAAGGAATTTGATGTTCGGAATTGCCAGGTACACTTGTGCCAACCAGGGAAAAAGAATAAGCCTGTCCTCCTTGTACTGCAGTCACTGAGAAGACTTCACTAACCTTCTGTCTCAAAATCTCAGTCTTAATGAGTCTGGGCTTGTCACATCAATTAGGAGAAACGGGGTATTAATCAAGACTCTATAAGTGCAAGTGACAGAAACCCAACTTAAGCTTGCTAGGCAAAAAGGAGAATTGATTGGCTTATGTAAGTGGACTTGTAGAAAGGGCAAGTCCCCTGGAACCAGACTCAAATGCCATTGGAGTTTGTTTTTCATTCTCATTCCTGTGTCCTCCGCTGGTTGGTCTCATATGCAAACTGGCTTTACTTTATGAAGTTAGAACCACGGTTCTTGACAGCTCTGAATTCGCATATGTTTGACCTCATCATCTGAGAGAATGGGACTGTTTAGAGGTTGCTCCCCCAACCCCCCACCCCTGCTGCAAGCTGCAGTATGAGAAGTTCTCGGGAGAGACTCGTAAACTACCAATCCAGAAAATTCCCATCAGAAATACATCATTAAATTTTTTCTTTTTGTAGGGTGGGGGGTAGTCCTCAAAGGCAGGGATAGCAGAAGTGAAATGGGTAAGTACTAGGCAGACAAAAAACAGATGTGTGCAATAAATGGGCAAGTAGAATCTAATACTGGTTAATAATAAGAGAACCCTTATTTCCTCTTTTTAAAATCCTCACTTGAGGACGTGCTTATTAATTTTAGAGAGATGGAAAGGGAGGGAGAGGAGGAAGGCGGGGAGAAACATCAATTGGTTGCCTCTTGTACATGGCCCAACCCGAGTTGCCTCATACACACCCTGACCGGAGACTGCATCTAGGCATGTGCTCTGACCAGGAATCAAACCCACCACCCTTCAGTTTACAGGACGATGCTCTAGCCAAGTGAGCTGCACTGACCAGGGCTCCTTTTGTTTGTATAACATTGTCTTATTTGGTCCTCCTGACAACCCTATGGGTAGACAGAGTGTAAAGAGCAGGTCTGACTCCCTTGTACCATTAGGTGGTATTTATGTGAGTTACTGAGAAGGAGCTGAGGCTTTCTCAGCATGTGGGGCCCACGGTGCTCGCAGAGGTGGAGGTGAGCACACTGTCTCTGAACGCGGCGTTGGCCCTGCAGGGGAGTGAGATTCTCCCATGATGGTTTGTGCAGAGTTCCAGTTCCCACTGGGACTGTCTCTGTTGCAGGTGCATCAGCGGGTCAACGAGTGTACGCGGGTGTTGAGGATCCTGCAGGAGGTCACTGCTGGGCAGACAGTCCTCAATGTCTTGCCTGGTGGGTTGGATCTGGTGACTTTGAAGGTATGACAGCAACTGGGATGACCCAAACTCATGTATTCATCAGGACTTTCTTGGTTACATGTAACAGGGACCTACCTAACTTACTAGCTTAAACCCAAAGAGAATTTACTGGCTCAAATAACTAGGAAGACCAAAGGCAGACTGGCTTTTAGCCAGCGTAGTCAGATCCAGCGTCTCAAACGTTGCTGTCAAAGCTCTGGCACTGCTATGCATGTGGGCTTTATCCTCACCAGAATAGTTAGTTGCTGGTGGCCCAACCTCCATTTCAGCACAGCTCCAGATTTAAAAGGAAAAGAGACTACTAGCTTCCACTAATCTGGGGAAGGCCCTGGCTCTGCTTGGGTCACATGCCCCTTCTGAGCCAATCACTGTGCCAGAGGGATAGGGTAATCTGATTGGCCTGCCTGGGTTACACACCCACTTCTGACAGCCCCACCGGGCCACATGGATGAGGGAATGATTGTCCCTTCCCCAAAGGAAGGGCTTTCTGGCAGCAAAAAACCTATGTTCCCTGCATGCAGGCTAATTCCTTTCTTTGAGAGAACCCCAAGAATTCCCAACAGGGTAGAAACTGCCCTGGCAGTTTGGTGCCAATTAGGTACATTTTCCTCCCCCGCCCAGTCTTTTCACCTCTAATTTCAAAGGTAGCTCAGGCTCTATTTAGAGAATTAAGAAACCACATAAAAACATAAAAAAGAAACAGAGTTATTTTGACATTTTGATATTTGTCCTTCCAGTTAATATTATTTCATGGATGCTGTTTTGTGGTCTTTTTCTTCACTTAACAAACACGCATAAAATAATAATTACTGCTTAAATGAGACCTTACTGTGTAAGAGCCCCTCACACACATGTAGTCCATAAGTGTTATTATCTCTTCACACAGAAGGAAACCAAGGATCTAAGAGGCTAAGTATCTTCTCAAGGTTACACAACCGAGTAAGTAGTAGAATTAAAATGTAAATTGGGGCTTTTGGATCTCATGATGGTGCTGTATGCTGCCCCAAAGCCTCTTTAGAACATATCCTTTCTTTAAAAAGATTTTATTTGTTTATTTTTAGAGACAGGGGAAAGGAGGAAGAAAGAGAGGGAAAGAAACATCAGTGTGTGGTTGCCTCTCACATGCCCCTGCTGGGGACCTGGCCCACAACCCAGGCATGTGCCCTGACTGGGAATCGAAGTAGCAACCCTTTGGTTCTCATGCCAGCACTCAGTCCACTGAGCCACACCAACCAGGGCTAGAAAATACCTTTTCAAGGCTCTGGTAAATCTTCAGGGAGAAGCATCTGCCTTGGTGGCCAGTAGGTAAGGCAGAATCTAAAATCTGGAGCGCTTTGCCAACTGTTTTGTGTGTCTGTCAGCCCCGACCAGAGAAGCAGGGCTTGCAGGCAGTGAAGTCCAGCCCGCATGCCTGCGAGCTGGAGACACACGGGGAATGGCAGGCTACAGTGTGGTTGGGTTAGTTACGAGGTGGCCTTTTGGAAAAATACAGAATAAAAAAGGCCAAGTAAATGTTCACCTATCAGATTGAGTAAGGTCTGAAAACTGAGTATTCATTCTTGTTGGCCAAGCTGTGGGGAAGCAGATACATTGCCCATGAACATAGAGATTGCTCCATTCAAGGCAGTTTGGCAATAGCTATAGCAGTACAAATGCACGTATCTTTTGACCCAGCAATTTCCATTTCTCAAAATTTATTCTGCAGATACCTGTATATGTGCAACATGATATATACACAGGGTCATTCCTTCCAGTGTTGTTTGTAACAGCAAAAGATTGACAGTATCCTAAATGTTCACCCGTAAGGGGACTGGTTTAACAGATTATGGAACAAAGGATGTATTCATTTGGGTAATGCTAATTGCTGTAATACATAAACCCCAGATCACATTGGCTTAACACAATAGAAATTTATTTCTCTCCCACACGAAATCCAAAATGGGTGCTGCTGTGCCAGGGGTGACTCGGGGATCCAGGCTCCTTCTATCTTGCAGCTCTGCCCTCTTCCACTCATGAAACCCAGCTTCACTGTGTACATTAAGCCAGGAACAGGAAAGGGCATGGAGAATTGTACAAAATAGTTTGTACAGACTAGGCCTGAAGTCGAGATTTTACTTTCACTCTCGTTCTGTTGGCTAGAACGGGGTCACAAGGCCACATCTAACCGCTGTGAGTCCAGGGAGGGGAGGAACAGATTTGGTGATCACTAGCTGTCTGTACTGTGGTGAAATCAAATGTAGCTATAAAAAATGTAGCTCTTTATTTACTGACATTATGATGCAAAAAGGTAAGACACAATATCCCTTGCATAAAAAGTGAGGAAGTATATATTCATGTTTACCCACATGTGTGTTAGTAAGCTCTGCAAACACCCGTAAGAAACTTACCTGTGTGGGGGCAGGGAGTGGCGACTATGTGGAAAGGGAATGTGGTAGGTGGGAGACTTCTCTATATACTCCTGATTTTAGAATATATTAACCTATAAAAATACCTGAACAGGCCACCTACCGGGTTGCTTATCTGGAGGCCCTGAGCAAAGGGAGAGAATTTAACTATAAAGCCTTGGGGTAGAAATTGGAGAGAAGGAGGGTTCAGGGCAGAGGATGGGTGGCAAAGCCTACAGAGGTTTCCCAAGCCCCTTAGCTGACAGCTGCAGCGGCTTTTTATATCGCTGTGCCCCGAAGGCTTCTAGAGACAACTAGAAGTAGATACGAGCAGAGCATATTCCAGCGAGCACACGCACTCTCTGCTGGATAAAAGCAGGACAGAGATCCAGGGGAAGTAGGACCTGCATCGGTTTGTCCACCAGCAGGCCTTGCCTCGGGGCAAAGCGGACAGGCAGCGGGAGCTCCCCGTCCTGTCCTGGACTTGGCGGGTGTGTCACCCCGCTGGACCAGTTTCAAGGCAGGGATCTAGAGGATGCAGAGGTTTTACTCTGACTGTGCTCTTAGATGGGTCCGGTTGGAATCACGTATTTTTATCTACTCATTGATTCATAAGTATTTGAATGTCTGCTCTAGTCCAGGTATTGTAGGTGGTGAGATTGCAAAAATAAAGATGAAAAACGTGGTGTTTAGAATTCCTGCCTACAGAAGGCTGTTCAGTCCAGGGGTTGCCTGACAGGTTGCTCTCCTGTGGGCAGGTTCATAGTAGTGCGGCGGCAGGGAGGGGCTCACCCACGGGATTGGGCTTCTGCATCACCGTCTCACTGTTTCTTCCTCTTGCCCCTGAAGAATTCCTCAAAAAAATACTCTGCAGTTTCTGACTTGGCCAAGTTGTCTGCTTTCCTCTCAGGGCAGCATCGACACGAGCTGCGTGGCTGTAATGGGACATTCATTTGGAGGCGCCACCGCCGTTCTGGCTTTGGCCAAGGAGACCCAGTTTCGGTGAGTTTCCCAGTGATGCCGTTGTCAGCCCACACCCCATTCATGCAGTCGGCACGTATTTGTCACTCAAGTCCTGTGTGCTACACACTGTTTTGCGAGCTGAGGATTCAGTGGTGAACAAGAAAACAAGGTTTCTGATTTCATGGACTTTGTGGGAGGAAACAGACTAGTGAGTGAGCTAACAGATAACCAAATCCCCAGCACCCAGGTGCAGTGAAGAAAATAAAGTAGGTTGATATGCTAGAGCATCTGGAAGCTTGTCTGAGAAAGTGACATAGGGCCAAGACTCAAAAGGCAAAGGGGCCATCCATACAAAGTTCTAAAGGAAGATCATTCTAGGCAGAGGGAACAGCTTATGCAAAGGCCCTGGGGTAGAAGGAAGCTTGTTGTGTCAGTCGGCAAGGAGTATAGAGAGCGAAGAGGTTAAAGAGGTGATGAGGGAGGTAAGCGGCCAGGTCACAGGGCCTTTTGGCCAGAATAAGGAAGTTAAATTATATTCTCAGTTTGATGAGAAACCGCTGAAGGAGTTTAGGCAAAGAAAAAATATATACTTAATTTAAAAAAGATCCCACTGGCTATTGTGTGAACTGTGGATTGTAGCAGGACAAGACAAAGCAAGGAGGCAAGTTAGAGGCTCTTTCAAAGTCAAGATGCAAGATAATGATTTGCACTAGGATGGAGGTAGTGGGATGGAGAGAAGTGAATGGAGTCAGGATAGGTTTTAGAATTTTCAGGGCTACATAATGAATGAGGTAAAAGAAAGAGAGGAATCAGGTTTCTTCGTTTGTGTGTCCATCATTTGAGTGAAGTTGACCATCCTTGGCCGAGGTGGAGAAGATGAGCATTTGGGGCTGGGTGGGGAGTTGTGGGGGCTTATTTTAGGGCCTTAGTTTTACCCTTGGTTACTGCTTGACAAACTGGCTAGATCTGTGAGTTGTGGCACCAACGAGGCTTCCCTGGCCTCCCCTGCCATGCATGCCCTGGGCTCACCTAGCAGCTCGTTCAGTCAGGGTGCCGAGCTGTTCTGTTTTCCCTTCTTGACTGGGAGCTCCTTGGGAGCAGGAACTGTGTCGTCTGTCTATATCCAGTGCACAGGGCTAAGCACATAGTTGATACTCAATGAATGTTGAATGAATGAAGTGCCATTCTGCGTAACTGAAGTCAGCTGCCTAAGAGTAGATCCAGGGGAAGGAGAAGGTCTAATTCTTACTCTCAGCAAGTTTAAAATCTAGAAGGATCTTTGGCAACAGGTGAAAGTGGTCTGTATCCAAGATCCCAACTGAAGGATGTCGACCCTGGTAGCTTCTTGGCTTTTGGAACCTTTATCCCACTGAAGGAAGGTCTCTGCCTCTTTCCCTGCTGCCCTAATGGCTTCTGCAAGGCAATTAATTCCAAATGTCTGGTCCTGTTCCAGGTGTGCCGTGGCTCTGGATGCTTGGATGTTTCCTCTGGAACGTGATTTTTACCCGAAGGCCCGCGGCCCTGTGTTCTTCATCAATGCTGAGAAATTCCAGACAGTGGAGAGTGTCAACTTGATGAAGAAGATATGTGCCCAACATGAACAATCCAGGATCATAACCGTCCTGTGAGTAAACCCCAAGGTCATGATCTCCAGTCTCCTCTCCATTTTTTAGCCAGCTACGGCTCCCTTAGTTACTTTTGCATTATCCAGAAGCTCCACCTATTAATTGAATACCTGAATTTCAAAATCTTACTTCCTTTAGAATTTCTTATCTGTTCTTTTCCCCCACTTGGTTCTACCTACAGAGATTTCTTCACTAGTTTATAGGACTTTGGGATAGGACTTACCTGTACTGTTCTGGGAAAAGGGTATGTAGCATTGTATGTTAGGGAGGCAGACGTGTGGTTCCTTGTGGACTCCGGAAATCTCTGACCTCATTTGGGAATGTTATTGGGTCTTTTGAAGAATGTGGCTGTGGCAAACCTTTGACATTCACAAGATAGATTTTTAAGGACCTTCGTGTTTGTCTAAATTCAGATATCTTCCAGAAACCATTTATATTCTGGCTCAGAGAAACCACGTTCTCTTCATTTCCATCACCAGCACTCTCAGATAGTTTTTCTTTCAGAAGCCATTTTTCAGAGAAAAGTTTTGAGTAATTTTAAGAAATGTACTACGCATAGGAATTGGCCCAGAGCTTCAGGTACGGGGCTGAAGGCTCCCTGACAAGTCTCTGACTTGCCCCTGTCCTACACGTGAGCCTAACCACACACAGGCTTCCAGGGTTCCAGGTCATAGCAAAACGGCAAGTAACTGCACTCCAGACCTTTGGATTCCCGCACGCCGCTGAAATGCCAAATGCACAGCCCAGGAAGGCTAGGTATCCGGTCAGTTACCAGCGACTTCTTCTCTTGCACATCTTGGCCCCTGCTCTCTTCCGTGGGGCCGGTCCCTCCCCTTTCGAGTTGATTCATGGCAACAGAAGACTGCTTAGCAGTTTCTCCAGCTAGTCAGATTCAGGATAATTGTGTCCCGGAGGGAAAGGAGGTGAGACAGTTGGGAAAGATGTATTCCTTCTTAAACTGAGCGCTGGACACTACACTGTCCATTATATTTTTCTTTATGCTTTTTCACGTGCCTTAAAAAAATGCATGTTTTAAAAGTTAGGGTTTGGGCCCTGGCTGGTGTGGCTCAGTGGATTGAGTGCCGGCCTGTGAATCAAAGGGTCACTGGTTTGATTCCCGGTCAGGGCAGGTGCCTGGGTTGAGGGCCAGGTCCCCAGTAGGGGGCCTGCTTGAGAGGCAACCACACACTGATGTTTCTCTCCCTCACTTTCTCCCTCCCTTCCACTCTATCTATAATAAATAAATAAAGTCTCTTTTTAAAAAGGGTTTGGGGTTTTTTTGGCATGGTATTAAAATTTAGCATTTAGATTTTCCTTTCATCATCAGTTTAACTAGTAATTTTAGTTCTAAGTAATTTAGCCCAAAATGAACCTAGTGAGAATTTTACCTTTGCATTAAATGTATTTGCTATCAGAGGACCTAACTTCTAAGCCAGAAACCCTCTTCGACAAGCATTTGACTTCCCTTAAAGTCCTTTTTCCTGTTTACTGTTTGATACAGTTGTGAAGACGGGAGCTGATCTGTTCTGCGAATGTTCAGAAGTCACCAGGGAACACCATGGCATTATGGTTTATAGTAACGTAGGAATGGCAGGTGCTACAGGTGTTGCCGCCTTGCCCCTGTCCCCACTCCAGCTACCTCAGCCTCTTCCCTGCACTGTCACACATTGTGGTCTCAGAGTTGAGGCAGCTCTGAGGCCAAGCACACCTATGTTCAAAGTCTCACTCTGTCCCCTTTCTAGCTGTGTGACTTTGGACAGATCATTTCTCTCCTGGTTCTGTCAAACGGGATGATACTTCCCTTATATGAGAATATGCTTCTCCTATTGTGAAAATTAAGTGAGATAATGCACATAAAGCACCTAGCACATAGTAGGTATTTAACAAGTATCTGTGTGCCCCAGCTTCCAGACTCCTATCACTTATTAATTTTTCTTCTCTAGTGGTTCTGTTCATCGGAGTCAAACTGACTTTGCCTTTGTGGCCGGGAACTGGATCGGCAAATTCTTCTCCCCTCAAAGCCACGGGAGCTTGGACCCCTACGAGGGTCAGGAGACTATGGTGCGGGCCATGTTGGCCTTCCTGCAGAAGCACCTCGGTAAGCATAGAACTGGGGTTTATGGGCGGCCGTGGGGTCCCTTGGATTTCCACACACAGTGGTCTATACTGGTATGTCTCGGATCAGGGACATACATGGCAAAAAGAAACTGGCTGAAGGAGAGAGTTACATAGAATTACAGAAAGAACACTTATCTGAAAGTTTGGAGATCCTGCCTCTGTCTTTTACTACCCGGATGGCCTTTGCCTAGACATTTCACTTCTCTGACTGAGCCTTGTTATCACTGACCTCATCTGTATTGTGGAGGAGGTTATGAAGATAAATGGGCTAAATTTGTAGAAGTGCTTCAACAAGCATGGGTGATGACTGATGTCATAAATCATAGACCGGCGAGGTGGCAAGGCCCGTGGAGGTCTTTGGTCCAGCCTCCTGCGCTTGAGAGCTGTCCTCTCGCAGTCAAGCAGCGTGGGGGGTGCGCTGCCATGAGAGTCGGCCCTCACCACCGCTGGACACTAATGGTTTTAAGAGCTGATACTCTAGGCTTTTTGGGGGGTTACAAGGACTAGAGAGATTCACTGATTTACCTCAAGAAAAAAAGCGGGGGTTGTTTATGAAAGTGAACTTTGCCAGCGTGGAAGTGAAAAGTTACAGGAACCATGGCAGCTCGCAGGACTGACTTCTCTCTCCTTCCCGGATTCAGCCTCCGTGTCTCTTCCTCTTCTGACATCTCAGTTTCTCTTTGCTCCGCTCTGCATTTTTCTTCTTTCTACTGCGTATTTTTTCTCTTGCCGATAGCATCTGCTCATTCATAGCTTCTGCTTCCTCAGAATTTCCTTATAACTTCAGTTGGTGTGACCACTCCGGACTTCTCTCTACCTTCCGGCATCTTTCCATCTTCAGCTCCCGCTGCTCATATTTCCTTGGATTTCTGAGACCAGATTCCCCACGTAGACAAATTGTCGTCACAGCTCATCTTTACCTGCCAATGCACGTCATAGGCCACTGCCCAACCTAGGCCCGGAGCTCTCTTGATCAGATGTCCCTTTCTGCTCCAGTCGGAATGGACCAGTCTTCCCTTGTCTGCACGAGGCTGGTCCCTCAGCAGGCGCTGTGCCTGGGGCAGCTTCCTTCAGGAAGGAACCAGGCAGCCTGGGTTTCTAAGGTCCAACCTAACTCTAACCTAAGACCAAGAGCTGATGCTTTGTAACTCCTCCCAACTTGCCCTGGTTGTCCCCTCAGCAGCTACCCAGAGAAGCCTCGGTCCCTTTCCACACAGCAGGCAGCTCTTCAGGTATTGGAAGTCACCTGTGGTGTCCACTTTGTTTCCTGTTCATGAAGCTAAATGTCCGTGGTCACACTTCCTTTTCCCCTACAGTTCCACACATTGCCATTTATTACCGCTTTTGGACGCACTGCTTGCCAGTGCGCCTTTTACTGTGTGGTTCCTGGACTCGAGTTGGACGGACCTGATCTGGTCTGATGGTGCCTGGTACAGCAGGACTGTCCCCTCTGTGCCCCGGACACTGGACGACTAGTTGGACGGCCTGAGTGCATTAACATTTTCAACAAGTGCCGAAAACATTTGGTTTGGATTGGGTTTTCTTTTTAAGCGTATCTGTCCTATTATAAAAGTATTAGCTTTTTTAACCTAAATTTGCATTTTTATATTTATGCATGTTGCCTGTTCATTTCATCTTGCTTATCATCAGCTATTATACCAGCCTGGGTTTAGGGAGTGTAGGTGTTATCGAGATCTTAGAGTGTCATTCTTTTTTCATCCTTACCCAAGGGCATTTTTTAAAAATTGCTTTTAGAGAGAGAGAGAAAGGGAAAGAGAAACATTGATGTGAGAGAGAAGCATCAGTTGGTTGCCTCTCATATGCACCTAGACTGGGGATCAAACCCACAACCTAGGTTTGTGCCCTGACCAGGAACGGAACCGCCAACCTTTCGGTTATGGGATGATGCCCCAAACAACTGAGCCATACAGTCTAGGGCAGAGCATCGTTCTCATCAGCTGGTGGGAGAGGAATGCATCCATGTCTCAAGACTCTTAAGGGGCCCGACTACACAGTCCTCAGCCCACTTTCCCTGCTTCCTCTTAGGCACCATATCATTGGGTAGGAGCTAAGGATGCAGAGGAGCCTTCCACGGCGCGTTTGAGCTCCCTTAGAGGCAGCGTCTGCTGAGCTAAGATGCTCATACTGGAGACCAGCAGAAGAGGAGGTGGAGGGTGGGGGGAGTCTTAGACTAAGGAAGTAGTCCTTGAGGACTTGCTTTATACCAGGCCTTCCACTCAGTACTTTAGTATAATCCTGAAGACAGCTTTTTCTAGTGGGTAATTTATTATTAGCTCCAATTTAGAGATGACGATAGTGAAGTTTAGGACATTTCAGTAATTTGTCCACAGTTATCTGGTCACTAAGTAGCAAAGCCAGAATACGGCCCACACTATCTCATTACAAAGCCCATGCGCTTAATTGCTCAACTGTTCTGCCAGTGACTCTGATGACCAACGATGCAATCAGTCTTAGGGGACACAGAGGACAGGCACCCTCCTAACTCTGTCAGGAGGGAAAGGACAGCTGGGGCGGGAGGCTTCTAGACACAGCAATCCTTGTCTTTCATCTTAACCAATGAGCAGGGTTCGCCAGGCAGGGAAGGGGCAAGGGTCTTCTAGACAGAAGGCACAAAGGCTTTTGCAGGGCTGGTCAGTGTTGGGAAACTGTTTAGTGTGTCTGGAGTTCAGGACGGTGAATTATGGGAAGATGAAGGTAGAGAAATGGGTAGAAGCCAGATCTAGAAGCCCATGTATTTGCTGAATAAGTGTGAATTTTATGCTACGGCGGTGAGAGTCCTTGGGTTCTAAGCAGGAGAATGTCATGCTTAGACTTGAACTTCCAGTCTGGCTGCATCATGGAGGATGGACGAGGTGGGGCAGGTTGGGAGGTAGAGAGCCCAGGTAGGATATGTCTAGGCGATGAAACATAAGACAAAGCTGAAAAAAGGCAGCGACTCTCTGGGTTCCTTAGCTTCTCAAAGAGAGAAGAGCGTTTTGGTGGCCACATGGTATATCGCCAACAGGGGAAGGAAACCAAAACAGGTTGTAGGTGGCTCCGCTGAGCCTCTCACCACTCCCGAAATAAACCCCTGAGAGCACATTCTGCCGACACGGGGATGTTCTCTTCTGTTGAGAAGAAGGGTGCTTCTTTCATATTCACTACATGCAGCTCCTGCCCCCACCTATTCATCCTGTGTCCCGCTCTCCTGGAAGACTTTCACACCTTCCCCTTTCTCTTCAAACCTCCGGCACCTCTTCCCCTTTCCTGTCTCCCAGCGGATCAACTGTGCCTCCCACTTCACCAAGAAAAGGGAAGCAATCAGCACTTCCTCGGAATACGACACTCCGTCTGCCCGCCTTCATGCATGTGCTCAGCTTTCTGTCTGGGCACTAACATTTCCTGCTCAGTCCCTAACTGAGGCCAACCCCTGCACCTGTACACCAGACTTCATCCCTTTTGTCCGCTTGAGATGGCTGTACGGGCAATTCTTTTCTCTTTATCTTCTTAGATCATCCGTTCTTTTCCTTTCTGCTGGTTCAGTTCAGGCTGAAATTTCTTTTAAAAATAATCTCTCTTGACCCTATCAGTTGCCATCCTCTTTTCCTAACAGTAAAACTTCTCAGAAGAATGTCTGTCTTTGCTTACTCCGCTTCTTCTCTTCTCATTGTCTCTTAAACCCCTTCCAGCCAGGCTTTTGCCTCCCAGTTCTTCATGCGGAGTGCCTTTGTCAAGGTTGCTAGTGACTTCCACAGCGCCAAATCCAGTGGTCAGCTCTCACTACCCGTCTCTGTGGAACTCAGCAGCTCCTGCCAGAGTCGGTGATGCCATCCTTCCGAGACGCCACAGTGTAGATGTTCTCCGGGCTCAGAATCCACTCCTCCTCCATCTGCTTCGGGACTGAGTGCATGGACCTCTTCTCCAGCTGTCTGCCCTGGTGCGACCTCTGTAACTCCAGTGTGATCTCTTCTGTGAACATCAGATTTATATAACCCACTGCTCACACACACCACTGCTCATTGGCATCACACACAAAAACTGGCCGAAACTGCAGTCTTTCCCTTCTCAACTAGCAGTCACCGCATCCTTCTAGTTACTTAAGCCGAAGTCCTCGTTTGTGTCTCTTTTCTTATACCTCCCATCCAGTCCTCAGAAAATCCTGTGGGCCCCATCTTCAGAATACATATGGAATCTAGTCGCTTTTCCTCACCCTACAACTACCATCCTGTGCCAGGCATCTTGCACCTAAATTAAAATGATCGGTTTCCGAACTGGTCTCCCTGCTGCCACCTTTGCCCCCTCCACAGTCTTCTTAACAGTGCAGCCAGAGTGACCCTGTTACAAAGTGTGTCTGATCTTGTCACTCCTCTGCTCAGCATCCTGCGGTGACCCCCCATTTCTCCAAAAGTCAAAGCCAACCTCCATTGTCCTGGTACGCCGAATGACGTGGCCCTCCAGTCCTTCCCCACCTCTCCCGCTGCTCTTCCCCTGGCCTGTTCCAGTCTCGCTGCACAAGCCCCCAACGTTCCAGGGACGCTCCGGCCTCAAGCCTTTGTGGTGCTGTTCCCACCTCCTGGAGCCTATTTCCTGTGCAGTCAGTCTCATGGCCCACTCCCGCCTCCTTCAAGTCTTTGCTCGAATCTCACCCTTCCAGCAAGGCCCACCCTGACAAGCCTTTTTAAAATATTGGACCTCGCCTATGTCCCCTCACCTCTGTCCGTGGCCACCACCACCGTTTCTCTTATCTAGCTCTTTTCCCCGTAGCACGTATCGCCTCTTCACATCCTGTGTAACTGGCTGTTTATCGTTATCTCTGCATACTAGATTGTGAGCTCTGTGAAGATGAGGATTTCTCTTTGTTTGTGGATGGACTTTTTGGAACCAGGGACAGACTGAGGCACATCATGAATGTGCTCAGGATTTTTTGAATTAATGAATGTATAGCACGCACTTGTTGAGGACCTGTTCCATGCTGGGTTCTTTGCGGGCACTGGGATCCAAAGATGAAGGAGAGTGGTCCCTGCCTTTATCCCAGGTTTTGTTTGTTGTGAACAAGGACATCGTTTGCGGGCTCAGCTGCGCCCTGCTCCCTCAGCCTGAGGCCGTGGACCCCTTCTGACTGTTTTACCACGTAGTCAGTCCCTCTGCCCATGACCCCAGGGCCCCCTCTCGAATCATACCCATTGTCACACTGCTTCTTGATGCTGCCACGCTGTTCCTTCTGCCCGTCACTGAGGTGGCCCTGGATTTGCATCCGCTGGCTGGTGTGCAAAGGACTTTTTCTTGCTCAGCGACATCCCTGAGCCTGGAAGTAGACTTTCCATTTCTCACGCTTTCTGACCGGGGCGTGAAGTCTGTCTCTGTCACTTACCTACTACAATGACCTTGGACAGATCAGATAGCTTCTCTGAGCCTCAGTTTCCTCAAACATAAAGTACGGCTAATTACAGTACTTAGCTTATTGGAATATTATGAAAATTAAATGAAGCAGTGCATGTTAAGCACAGTTCCTAAATGAGTTACTCTTCAATAAATGTTCCTTTTTGTTATTATCATTATTGAGTTACTGTGAATTAAGCAAGTCATTTATGAGGCACGTTTATAAAGGCACTGAATAAATAAAAGTTAGCATTATGCCACCACCGTCACAACCAGTCCGGCCTGTGTCCCTGGCGCTCCTCTCTCCAGGGTGGCCCAGGCGTCTGTGGGAGGTGCTCTCAGCTCTCCCCTTACAGTGGTTCACCTCACCTCCTGTTTGTTTTTTCCAGACCTGAAAGAGAACTATGACCAGTGGAACGACCTCATTGAAGGCATTGGCCCATCCCTCACCCCAGGGGCCCCACACCATCTGTCCAGCCTTTAGGCACAACTGGCCATTTGTAAAAGGTCACAAATGGGAGAGCAGCTGAGTTGAATTCCCATTTGGGGTCTGCCCATATGGGGTCTTCCTATCAGGAAGTGGTCGATCTGGCCCTTCTTCACAGATCAAAAGGGTATTGTAACACTGCTGATTGGGTAACTGGGCACTTTGATCTTGGTCTAGTTGATCTTAAATTCATGATGGGGCTTGCTTGGATCACTTACCGATGGACACACTGACTTTCTGGGGCCTGAGCCCTGGTGGTGAAGGGAACGAGCAGTGGGGTGGGGCTGGGGAGCACCCGAGCCCTCAGCTGAACACTACAAGCACTATTAACCCAGCGGGCTACGCCCTCACCTTGGGCCAGCGTGGCTTCAGCAGGGGAAGAAATGAAGCTGAAAGACCTTCAGCCTAACCTGGCCCTCTCTCTTCGTACCTCTCAGCCTTCTCCCTCCCCTGGGCCACTTGGCATGTTCTCAGCACTTGAGGTAACTTTCTAGGATATGGACCACCATCAGATTTTCTAGCCTTCTCAATGGGTGAAACATAGTTCTGGGCACTTGGTCTGGGCTAAGATATCCTTGTGAGCCCACGGAGGAGAGCAGACAGCATTGTCCTCTTAACACAGGGAGAAAGGCTGAGGTACAGAGTAGGGGGCCGCGGAAGCTCTGAATGTCTGGGAGTTTAGCTAAAAATGTATCTTGACAGAAGTAGGTTGAGTTGGAGAAGGTAGAATAACTGTTAAGTAGGCATTTGAACAGGCCCTTGCCACAGAGGGAGGGAGGTTGGTCAGCCAGAGTTCAGGAGGCCACCCCTGGAGATCCCAGGAGTACAGTGGTCTCGCCTCTTACCTCAGATGCCATGAGCCTCCCTCCAGCGTGCTCAGAATGAGGGTGCTATGACTTGTCTGTTCTCTGGCTCTGAGGCCCTAGCCCAAATTTAAGTCAAGATATAGATTGAATTTTTATTCCGTTCCATTTATAATATGAATGATATTAATACTCATGTTTGCCTAATGATATGTTGGAATATTCTCTGTCTAATCTGCTTTACAGCAAGATGGGGAGCCATCTGGTAGTAACTTTTCCTTCTGTCTTTGTTCGCTTACTACTTGTGCCCATGTGGAGAAAAAACTTTAAAAGGAAAGGAAGTCTTCCCGGTGATCTAGTTCAAAGCTGTCTGGGAAGACCGGCCTGACACACCCCTCTCCACCACTCTAGACCTATTACCTCAGTTCAGATAGAGGACCCCAGAGAAGGCAAGATCCAAAGGGAAATGTGTCTCCACACCACAGGTCCAAGGTCAGCTCTGCCACCACAAACTGCGACTAGGTCTCCCGCCTCTCAACAGTTGTGCTAGGAGGTGAAGCTTCAGGTCCATGGGGGCCGTGAACCCTGGGAGGATCTGTGACCCCAGTGAGACATAGGGTAGAGAGAATGTCATTAGAGCCCTGAGCGCTGGAGGTCTCCAGGCTGGCCTTGAGGCCTGGTTTCACCGAGACGGGGTAAATTTGAGCAAGTTGCATTCTCTTTCCAGTCTTGGTTCCTGCATTTCTTAAGATGGGCATCTTCATTATGAATAGCTAAGAGGATTAAGTGAGAGGGTGTGTGTGCACATGGATTATTTAAAAGTATGTTTTCTACTTTCCAAATATATCAGATTTTCCCAGTTATTCTATAGCTGTTGTTTTTTTAGCTTAATTGCTTTTGGTCAGAGAAAATGACCCATATGGTTTTCATCCTGAAACTTGCTTGTTGGCCCAGTATGAGATCAATTTTGTAAATGTTCCTTATATGCTTGAAAAGACTATATTCTGAAGTTGTTGGCATACTCAACAACATGATGGATTTTCTTCTGTGAGAGTGCAGACAGATACCTAATAGGGCCTTCCCACCCGTGCCTGGGGACCACAGCCCTCAGCACTCACAGGAGCAGTGGGTGCCACCCCTTGTGCCCGCCCTGGTTCTGTCAGCTTTGGCACGGGACCCAGCTTCTTTCTACCTTAGAGCCATACCTGATGTGTGGGTATTTTGTAAAGACTGGGAGCCTTTCTGGAGACAAGTTGTTTGGAAACTGGATCTATCCCTCTTCCAATTCAGTTCATATTCTGGCAGTGACTCATTTATCTGGCAACATTAGAGTAGGTGAATTTTCCCTATAATCAGAAGCTATCCTTTGAGCCAAAAAATATTAACTTTGACTTTTTTGAATGGTAATTTACCAAAAAAGATAATACACTTCTTAATGTGAACTGGCCTCACTTAACTTTTTAGGATGTTTCAGCCAGGATAGAGTAGATATTATGGTAGTAACAAGCAACCCCCAAAAGCAACAGAAGTTTCTTTCTTGCCCATGCTGCTTGTCCTCTGTGGGTCACCTGGAGGCCCTCCTCTGTGTCATTTTTATCTTCACTTGGGGACTCAGGCTGGCCGAGCGGCCACAGTCTGGAAGTGTTGGGAGAGAGCATGGGGAAGCTTCTGCCCACGAGTGACGCTCATTATTTCCATCCACATTTCATGACTGGCCAAAGCAGGTCGCCTGGCCATCCCAGACAGCCCCCCGCATCCCCAGAGAGCCAAAATGTCTGTGACCTGGCCTGAGGTCAGAGCGGTGAAGCTGCTGGATAGCTATTTGCACCTACGTTACACGGCCCAGTGCTGTGCTCTTAGTCCTTTTGATTGCCTTTCATGGTTTGTATCGCCTCCCTCGTGGCCAGGCGGCCAGCCATTGCTCTTCACTGCCCTCAGTGCGCCGGCCCCCGCAGCTCTCCCCACTCACTTCAGATTTATTACTTCTGATCAGCAGCATTATTTATAACCATCTAAAGTAAAATCAGGTAGTTACTGAGAAAGGGCTTTAGGGACTCCCTGCAACTAAAATGTGCTGCCTTTAGTGCTTAGAAATTGTAACCCTTCCTTTGACTGCTCAGAAGGGGTATAACAAGGTTTTTTGGCCCTTTGCCCTGATTTTTGGTTAACTTCCAGGGACTCGAAGGACACCAGATAAATGGCCTTTTGATAGGCAATACAGTCCTGCATACTGACTGTCATCTGTTGATAAACTGCACTCTAGTGAATCCTTTTGAGAAGCAAAGATGTCTCGGGTTCCTTGTGCATCTCGTTCCCATCCCATTACAAAACTGAACTCAGGGAGACCCACTAGTGGAATATCGTAGGTTCCTGTGCAGGGAATGGCGCTTCGGTTAGGGAGGGGTGAGTGAATGCAGACGGAGGGGGGCTCCTCATCCCTCCCACATCCCGGGACCATCGGGCAGAGGCTCCCAACACAGTCCCCAAGCCCCTTCCTAGTGTGTGTCCTGACACAGCTGCCCTCCTGCCCTTCCTCAGGAAGTCTGCTGGGCTCTTGAAGTGTCAACTGATGGAATCCAACTGCACGTGTTGGCTTTGTGGGGACCTTTATCTGCCCCCTTTTCTTCTGGGACACCCCTTCCCCCTTGGCCTGCAAAGTGATAAGGGACAGGAGAGGCCATACTCTGTACTCAGGACCCAGTCCTTATTTAGGAAGCTCACTTTCTGTCCCATCACAGCCAGATGCAAAGGCCAAGTGTCCTTGGCCATAGCTGCTTGACAAAATGACAATGATGATGATGATGGTGATCGCTGTAATAACCAACATGGATTAGGCCCTTACCATGTATCAGGGACTATGTTCAGTGCTTACACGCTTTGTCTCATTTACGTTTACAGGAACCCCATGAGGTCAGGTGGTATGAGCCTCATTTTGTGTATGAGGAGGCAGCTTTAGAGAAGTCATTTGATCAAGCTCTCACAGCAAGAATTTGGCAAAGCTGGGATTTAGGTGTCAAAATCCAAATTGTTAGTCACTGGGCCATGCTGCCAAATGCACATACTTGGTTTTTTGCCCCTTCCCCTGTCTGTTTAAACTCTCAGGGTATAAGGAATATAATTTCATGACGGATGGAATCAAGAATGTCAAATGCTCCAGCAGTTTCTATATGAATTGTATGGCGAGTCAGTGGTATTTTTAGCACTACCGAGAAGTGGGTGGGAGAGAATTGAGCTTCACCGAGGACTGTGGGTCAGGTGCTCCGTTGATTTCATAGGTGAGGCAAGTGGTTCAGGGATTGAGAACATGGTCTTTGAAATCAGACAACTCCAACACTATTTTCCTTGTAACTTATGCTAATTAACTTATGTGGGCTTCAATCTGCTCATTTGTAAAATGGAAATTCTAGTAGTATTTACCTCTTATGGTTGTAATAATCAAAATAATGCATGTAAAGCATTTAGCATGGTGTCTATATTAAGGGGTTATTAAACACGAACTATTTTTACTAGTATTGTTTTATTTGGTCTCCTTACGTACCTATAAGGTGAGCTATAATTTGCCCTTGTCCTCAATGGCCCCAGATGGTCTCGCTCTCAGTTCTCATTCCAGCTTCTGTTTCACAGTTTCCTCCCTCACAGGAAGCCTGCAAAACCGTCACTCAACTGGTGCCATTGTGTGAGGGTGGAGCTAGATGAAGAGAGAGTCTTTACATTACATTCAGTCTCATTTTCCTGCTCTTCCCATCCAACGTCAAAATCCACACCATCGCTCTAGCTTCATAGGCTTTCTTCTCCACCAGGAAAGTCTGCACTCCTAGGTTCTGGTTTCGGCTTTAATTTCACACCTGATCACCCGAACACACATGTCTGCACCAGAAGTCAACCCCAGGTCCCAAAATGGGGAGTGGGAGGGTCCAAGGGAAAGGTTGGTGTGAGGTTGGCCAAGGGGAAGAGGACCTGGGGATAGGGCGTTTGTAGGGGCTAGTTGTGTTAATTCTTGTCTGCTTCCTCTAAGGTGGGGGGGTGAGGGCAGGGGGGGCAGGAAGGTACCCCATGACATCAGGAGAAACTTCCCAGATCGGAGAATGGCCTGCAAACTACCTCCGAATGGCTCTCGCCCTCACTGCCATATCCGATTTCTTGCCAAGTCCTTTTGCTTCTCCCCAATTGGTGGTTCTCTCTCACAGCCCACCCTTTCCATTTCACTTGAGTCTAGTCCCTCCCATCCTCACCCCTGTAATCACGTTTACAGTCTCCTGGACCCTAATTTCTCCTTTCACTGCATTCTGCTGCCAGAGCTTCGTGATAGAGAGCACTTTTATATCAAAACACCAGCCTGGCAAAGCTGGTCGAATGGAAAGAGGAACAAACTGATCGGAGCCCCGGTTCTTGTCCCAACTCTCACTGTCTCTCAACCTATGACCTTGAGTGTATGCTTTTCTTCTCCTGACCTCAGCTTCCTGAACTATAAGTTTGGACGGACGTAGGGTGGTCCCTAAGGCCCCTTCAGTTCTGGCATTTTACCATCTCTGTTGCTGAGTTGTCAGAAATCTATCGGACTTCCTTTTTCCTGTACAGTTCCATCCCACCCCTCATTCTGTCTGGTTTTGCTCCATTCCTGTCCTCTGCTGCTTCCCAGTAGACGCACTCCGCTTTTTCCACAGTCCCTTGCCTAGGCCCACTCATTCCCCAAACACCCGTGCCCTTTCTCGTGATCTTTTCTTGCTTGCAAGGGCCTGCTCAACCTCCCTGTATATCCAAGTACTGCTAATCCTTAGGCCCATTTCTCTTGCATCTCTCCTATGAAAGCCTTTTTGATTAAATTCTACTAGCCTTTGATCTCTTGGCCTCCTGCTTCCCAAGAGAAATATAGTCTGTGCCATAGTTAGTATCGTACTTTATTACATTGTTCCAGGAGCAGGACCTATCTGTTGGACTGGGAGAAGCATCCTCCTGTTGACTGGCACAGGGAGCAGGGATCACTGTCCCCTGTGCCCCAGCCCCGCCCCCATCAGCAGGCTTCTTGTTCCCCAGCCAGACTTGGGAGCAGCTGGTATTCGCCCAGCCCTCTGATGTCTCCAGCTGCCCCTGCCTCATTTTCCTTGGTTTTCTCAGATCCCAGCTTGTGGCGCCCAGGGCAGAACTGCCAATGATGCAGCCCAGGGCGTCTGGAGCAAGTGAGAGGTACACGGACGTGTACCACTGAGAGTTAGGGGGAGGCAGAACTGAGCACAGATCACACCAGTGCTGAAAACGAGGGAGAGCAGTTTGCCGGCTTATTTTTCTCATCTTGCTCTCATCTAAAAAAAGAAGCTGCTCAGAAACACAGTCCTCAGCCTGCTACGCCAGGCGGTCTCTAGATTCCTGCCAAGTGTGCATAGATAATTATTCATCTTTATGGAATCACACCCGGGTCTGAATCTAGGCACTGACATTTTTTTGACATTTTTTAAAATCCTCACCCGAGGATATATTTATTAATTTTAGGGAGAGGAAGGGAGAAAGAGAAAAATATTCATCAGTTGCCTCCCGACTAGGGATCAAACCCACAACCTGTGTATGTGCCTTGACTGGGAATCGAACCCACAGCCTTTTGGTGTACAGGACAACACTCCAACCAACGGAGCCACCCAGCCAGGGCACTTTTTTGCCATTTGATCTGGAACCAGTGAATCCTTCTGAGCCTTTGTTTCTTTTTCTGCAACATGTGGTCACTAATGTCTGCCTTGCCTCTTGATATTTTGGGGATTCTAGATAAGTTTAAGACCTCTTTGTAATATATAAAGCACTGGACAAATATATGTTGCTATTAATAGTAAATGTTTCAAATCTATTTTTGCTATAGTGTGCTGCTACTCAATGAGCACTTACTTTGTGCCAAATACTGTGCTGTGTATTTTACATACTTGTGAGTACACGTAATCCTCACAACATTCCTGTGAGGTCTTGTGCATTACCCCCTTTCAACAGATCAGGAAAGCGAGGTTCGGAAAGATTGATGCTGGAGCCAGGATTTGAACTTAAACTGCTGGGTTTCAAAGTCAGTGCTCTTGATTCCTGTTCATTCCTATCTCACAAGAAGAAAATGGTTCTGACGCTATGTAAGCTAAAATAACCCACAATATGATCTCCAGTAAATGCCCTACGCAGCTGGGTCAGACAGAGTCATTTTTGTTGAAGACCTCACTGAGTCCATGCGTTCATCCTTCCATCCATCCACCTCATGTAAAGTCAACAGTTAAGGGAACCAGTCCATTAGTACTGGACTGTATAAACCATGGAGCCAATCAACTGGCAGAATTATTTTTTTGGTCTCTAACCCACATACTATAGATTAGTGATTCTCAGCTCTAGACACACATCAGAATCACTTTGAAGCTACATAAAAATACACATGTCCTGGTCATGTCTCCAGAAATCCAAAGATACTGATTCAGAAGGTGTCAGCTCAGGGGTGTCTGTGTGAGAGAGAGAGAGAGGGAAGCTCCAGAGATATTTCTGATAAGCAGCCAATATGAGAACATTTGCTATCTATGACTTAAAACTCTTAGCCTATTTTCTTCTATGAAACAAGAGTTTACTGGCTGAAAATACAGGGTCCAGCAGAATTAACGCCCACTTGAGTGTGCTGTGCAGTACATGAATGACTCTCACGAGACAAATGGCAATTTGAACATGTCACCTAAAACGTCTTATGGTGTGCTTGAGTGTGATATGTTGTGTTCCAGAATCCCATGCTTATGATTTCGTAATAAAAAGGGGCATTATTTGTGCCGGGCCCTGTATACAATCATCAAATTTTGGACTTGGAAGAGCCCTGACATCATTTGGTCTATGAGGAAACCAGAGCTCAGAGAAGTTCAACAGGTACCTGGCAAACTTGAACTAAAATTCAGATCTTCGGACTCCAGTCTAGATTTTAGATACATCCACAGGCAACAGGGCTTTACTGGATTACGAAGAAAATCCTGGAGAACAATGGGAACCATTCGGGAAGAAAAGGGGTGAAAGGACTCTTGCCAGCCTGCCATGAGGAGGTGCCACGTGGTTTTGGATTAAGAACCGGAGATCATGGCGACGCAGCTGATGGTGCTGAGGACTGCAGGAGACCTGCCCGACCTAGCACAGATTACTGGGAGGAACCGGGAGTCTAGCAGAGCTATGGACTTCTGTTTCTTCTCCTGAGATACGGTGTCTCTGGCTGGCCTGGTTTGGCAAGGGGAGGCAGGACTGTGTCTGTGTTTGTGAGTGTATTAAAGGAACTTTGTGATTTAACGCCAACATTACTCTAAACCTGTATAACTTTTGAATAAATAGTTCCTTTCCTTTTTAGCAAAAAAAAAAAAAAAAGAAGAAGAAGAAAAGAAAATTCTCAGGACCCATTCACTGTGACATCCTTGATTTCCAGAAAGCAATCACACATTGGAGTTTTTGTGCAGGGAGGAAGCCTGGCTGGAAGGCCTGCGAGAACCTACTGAGGTGGCAGTTCTCCTGTGCGTTCATTCATTCTACAAGCACACATTGCAGCCTATACTATGGCTGGCACCGTCCTCATGAGACTGAAACTAGAGAGCAAGAAAGGCAAGTCAGCAGAGCCGTGTGATCAGCACTGCTACGGGCGTGTATGAGGCTCAGCAGTGGCACTGGGCGTGTTCAACTTCCTCGGAGTAAAAGGGCTTCACAGAGTATCATATACTTAACCTGGGTATTTGTACTAGTTATCTGTTGCTGCATAATAAATTACTTCAAAATTTAGCAGCTTAGAGGAACAAACATCTCACACTTTCTGTGGCTAAGGAAATCAAGTGGCTCAATTATATGGTTTGGCTTAAAGTCTCTCTTGAGATTGCAATCAAGACGTCGGCTGACATGTCTGAAGGCTTGACTAGGCCTGGAGAATCCTCTTCCGAGCCAATCACTCACACGGCTGTTGGCAGGAGGCCTCAGTTCCTCAACTCGAGGAGCTCTCCCTGGGGCTGCTGCTCAAAATGTGGCAGCTGGCTTCTGCCAAAGCAAGTGATCCAAGAGAGTAAAATGGAAGCCATAATGTATAGTATGACCCATCCTGGGAAGTCATACTCCATCCTTTCCATGATATCATATTAATATGCAGGTCAGGCCTGTTCAGTATGGGAGGGGACTGTACAAGGGCGTGAATATCAGGAGATGGAGCTCATTGGGGACTATCTTGGAGGCTGGCTACCATGGTATTGACAAACAGAATTCCGGATGGGCAAGAGAAAAGAAAGGCATTCCAGACAGGAGATACCATATAAAGCCTCTGAAATCAATAGTAGGGCAGGTAAATAGGGCATAACATATTCAGGACATAGGATTTTTTGAAAACACGTGAAAAAATAAGGATATAGGATAGCTTACAGAAGGAATCGGAGAACCTTCTGCGCCAAGTGCATGAGTTAGGTCTCACCATGTTGGCCAGTGGTTTTCAAATGTTTCTGCATGTTGGAATCACCCGAGGAGATTTTAAAACTTCCAATGCCAAAGC